CTAATCATATGTATCTGTCTAGGGACAAGGGTTGTTGTAAAATACGGAGTTTTCCATGTGCCAGTGAGGTGCAATATGAAGGTGAATTAGCATTGCATGGTCTCTGCCATAGTTCTGAAGACACTACCCTGCCCCAGTTCTTCTTTTATTCACCAGACTGTCTTTTCTCCATGTCCTCACTAGGCTTCTCTTTCTCAGCTCAGCCATTAACGAATCTGTGTTCTGCCAATTCCCATATTCAAGGGCCTAACCTTTCCTCTCCACTTCTAGCCCCAGACAACTTCACATAGTCCTGCACTTGCAAGGATTATTTGAGTCTAACTTCGAGATATAGTATCTCAAGTTCTCATCTACACGTAAAACCTCAAAGCCATTTCATGCATAATTCACTAATAATTATTTCAACCTCAGTGTGAAAAAAACACAAAGAGATTTTCCCCCAGATCTATTATCATTTCTTCACTATTTTTCGTCCCAGTTAGTGACAAGCTCAGGTTTCTATGTCTAGATTCCTCTCTATCATCGCTACTATTTCTATGTTATCACTTCCTGTGTCCCTTAAGACTGTGGTACCCAGTAGTTGAGTTAAACATCAGAGATGCTGTTGTTCTGCAGTGGATCGGCTGAGGAGTGCTTCAGCTGTGATTGCCATTAAACTACTGGACTCATCTGAGTAAAGCACATTGTCCTCCATCAGTACAGGTGGCCTCCTGCAATCAGTTGTGTGTAGCAAAGAGCAACTCCTGAGGTTTTGAGCAGAAGGAATTCAGCCTGAAGTGGGCAGTGTGGGAACCCAGCCTGATTTTCCAACTTGCCTGTTCAGCCCTGCAGATTTCCGATTTGAAACTGCAAATATTGTTAATTGGATTTTTCACATAGCAGACGGGGTCTCATTAATTGCCGACTCAACAGCCCCAATATATATACAAGCGATGATCAACGGAAAAAGTGTGTGCTTAAATAATTAAAAAATTTACACTGCAAGACACATTGTCATTAATCTCCCTGAAAATACTGCTGCTGGCTTCAAACACAGTTACCTAATTATTAAAAGGACACTCTTTCGTTGTGCCTCATGGATGCTGGATCCACTGACTGAATTAACAAAAATTCTTTCAGTGGTCATTTTGACACTGGAATGTGCCTCAAACCTCCAGATCCTTCGTAGAGGGTGTAAACTGACAGGTCCTAATGTGTTCACTCCTCTATTTTCACACTGGAAGGCAATGAGCAGTCTGGGGTCATTGTATTTGTTTGTATCTCATAATAGCAGGAAATGGGATTTTTAGAACTGCTTCAGATAGTAACAAAAAGGATGGAATAAGTGTGTTTGAAACGAGGGGGAGTATTTTGCTGGGAGAGTAAAGGCAACATGTCTTATTCTAACAATTCTTTTAAAATTTCAACGTGCAGTTTTATGAACTCTCATAGCTCAGTGGGACTCCCTTGGTGATCTTCCAGGAGGGCAGTCTCAGGAAGGGAAGGCCCTCGACTTCTGTAGAGTTCGTGTCATGGAGGGAAGAGTCCTGCACAATACCAGAGTCATGGGGAAGATCCTGAGTGCTGCTGAGAGACTGCATCCCACAATGGCAGTGTTCACAGGGCACAGCCCAGCTGTCAGGGCTGGCAAGCAGAGGGCACCATAGGGGTCATGTCCATATTTCCCCTGCAGGGAAGTAGCTGGTGATATTTTGTTTTGGTGGTTGTCTGACTCTCAGCAGTAGTAGAAGGAGGAATCCCTGGCTCTAGTAAATATGCCGGTGGGTGTCTAGAGAGCTTTGATTAGAAAACAGGGTGGTCACATAGAAATCTGCTCCTGGCTTTAGCCCCGGGAGACCTTGGGCATTGGTTGTATGGGTGTGGTTACTGAGCTCATTTCCATGGGCAGGGCTGAGGCCTGCATCTGGAAGGCACTGTGTGCTGTTGAAGATGGTGAATTCCCAGGACCAGTGCTATTGTTAGGTCCCAGAGTTTGTACTTAGGGTATCGTTCTCCATTCATTACAGCTTGGGGTGATGCTGTGAGGCCAAAACCCAGGTTTCAACCTGAGTTTTGCCACAACAACATCAGGAAAGAGAGACCTTTGGCACAAATAAGTAGCCAAGATTCAGGAGGTTAGAGGCAACCTAGGTCCTAAGGAGGGTCATGTTTAAGGCTCTAAGTGCTAGTGAGATGATCATTCCCCACAATAGGTAAGAACACAAAGCAATACTCCTGAGCTCCTTCCTGTGAAGCTCCAGGCAAGGATACTCATGTGCAGGGGCTGTGTTCCCTGTATGGGGCCCTGTTGTGAGGCTGGCAGAATGAGGTTAGTCTAGAGAGATCTCCCCAGCCATATGCAGTGGCAAGGTCAGCAGCGTGGCTGGAACTAAGGGGAAGCACCAACTCCAAAATAGGGGTTCCTATCCATATTCGCACTCCTCCGGGCCTTGGAAATGCCATCCAATCTGTCAGTCTGTGTCTGTGCCGCCCCCTTTTCTCCTGGGCAGTCACAGGATGGTTGAAAACATTGTATGAGCCAGGTGTGCAGAAAGGGAACCCAGACCCTTGAGGAGTCCAGGTGCTCATCCTTAGGAGGACCAGTGGAACTATGCTCCTGTCAAAAGTAGAGAAAGGATGGAGAGCTGCTCACCACTGTACCCCTAAGGAAGCCAGCAGTGGGGGGTCACATGTATGAGGAAACCATAGTTTTCTATGGCCTTCGTTAATGTGGTGAGGGCCATCAGATTAGCGTGGCTCTTCAACCCGGTGATATCTGCCCCCACAGGAAGGACCATGAGTTAGGACTGAGGAGCTCAGTGTGCCCATGTGCACGAACCCTCCACGGAGCTCTTCGACCTAGTGCCCCCTGTCCAGGGTGATAGACTGAAGTGACTTACATATCTCTAAGGTCCTGCCAGGAATGGAGGACATTGTTTGGAGGCGTGAGAGTTACTGCAGCACATGGGAAGGGGCGCAGGCACAGCTAACACGTGACTTAATGGTCTATAATGTGACCAGGGTTCACTTTCCATCCCAGAGAAGAAGGGCGAAGCTGCAAGAATGAGAGCTGCTAGCTCTTCTATCAGTAGCCCAGGGCACAATTTAATATGTCCACTGGGTTTTCAGAGGACAGGCTGATCAGGGAAAGGGAAAGAGACTATGGTCAGATTAATGTGGTAACCCCTTTGAAATGAAACTTTGTTTCAAGAGGAGTTGAGTGGGTCACTATGGATATGTGCAGACAGGTCCAAGGAAGCAGTGACCCGTATAGAGGCCTTTGCCTGAGAACTGCAGGAGCAGGGAATGGTGGTATAAATCTCATTTTCTCCTCCCATGAAGCTCTGAGGGCGATGTGCCATGTTGTCATAGTGGGACGTCTCAGATAAGCAGGTTCGGGATTCCAGTTAGTGCCAGGTGTCAAGGTGAGGACCCTGAGAGCTGAAGGAACCACCCACCACAGAACACTGAAGGCAACAGAGAATTCCTCCTCAGTTTTCAGCCTCGGGAGACTACAGGCAGGTATGGGGAGGCCAAAAGAGCAGATGATCACACCATAGTTAAAAATCTCAGAGAGTTGTAATCATTAATAATACTGGATAAGTGCTAAGATAGGGTGCACCAAGGGCGAAGTTAGTTGAGCTCTTAATCAGAAAATGAGCTTCCACAAAATCCCATTGCCTCTCACTTTTGAGGAACCCCACGTAGAAGTAACCAAAGGCATCTCCCCTTTGCATCCATCCCTGGGACTCCTGGAGGAAAAGGCCTTGGTATCAGTCTGGAATCCTCGGACAGCCTGATGGTGAAGCTCAAAATCCGTCCAAGTGAGGAGTGCAACATACCCAACACAATGAGGTTCCATAGATGCAGTGAGAACTAGACGTGCCTCATATTTTGCTTGGTCTTTGGATTCTGAGGTAGGCTTGAATCTTAATCTGATATAAAGGGCATCTGGTCATTAGAGAAATGATTACTAGTATGTACCAGAAATCACAGAGATAGCCTTGAGAAATTCAAACAACTCCCAAACAATACCATCCCCGAGGGTCCAACAGAGACCTTTCTCTGTCATGCCTGGGCAATCCCAGGCATAGTTGTCAGGAAGAAGTGTTCTGTGATTCCTTTCCTGGAACAGCAGAGAAGTTCAGGACTTAGTATGATCTTTCAGCAAGGACAGTATTTGGAGGTCGAACTGGAGACTTTGAGTAAGAACCATAAATAAGACCACGTATCATAAGGCCACAACCTGCTAGCCACAGCTTTGAGCCTCTGATAATGTAGCAATGTGGTCAGACACAGCCACCCTCATGTCCTCCAGTAAGAGTCAGGGAGGAATAGGTGTGGGCTTTACTCTCCTATTTCTGCACATCTTCACATAGAGAGTGGGGAACTCTAAGCGCTACTTAAAGTCAAAGTACTAACCATGGGTGAAAGCTGAAATTACCACCCCCTTAAAGCCAAAGGAAACAACAAAGAGTGTGGCTCTGGCTGGGCTCTTCTCCTTGGAAAACCGAAGCACTGTTATCAGTTGAGACTTCTTGTCATTTCTTTGTGTCAAGTCTGAAGGAGTAGAGAGCAGACTGTGTGAGGATTGAGGACCAATGATCACAGGATAGAGACAGCTCCACAGAACTGTCAGCATTGCTTCCTCACGGGAGTAATGGAAAGATGAATTCCCTCATTTTTAGTTTCATCATACCAGGGTGCATTAAGCTTGAAATTCAGAGTAGCCCAAGAACGCGGTGACAGGCCCTACCAAGAATACCTATGATGATTCTCTGTGCAAACTGAGAGCACACTTGCACGTAAGTGGAGAATGCATGGTCAGATAGTGCGGTCTCCAAGGCAGCCCTAGAGAGGGGTACAGCCTAAGACACAAGACAACTCCCTCCACAGGGTCCTGGGGGCCAGGAGAAGAAAAAGGACACAGTGTAGCTAGAGCAGTGAGGAGGCGCTGCCCAGAGGCACAGTGGAATCTTCTTGCTGAAAGTACTCAGGGGATCTCATTCTTTCTCCTCCAGGTTCCTGCAACACCTGCTCTCCAGCGCACAGACTTGCCTGCTGTCGCTGACCTCAGCCATCATGCCCCGGGGACAGAAGAGCAAGCTCCGTGCTCGTGAGAAACGCCGCCAAGCCCGAAGTGAGACCCAGTGTCTCCAGGAAGCTCAGGCTCTCAGGGCACAGGAAGGAGAGACCCCTTCCTGCTCTTCTCTCTCTGGAGATGCTGCTCCATGCTCCTCTGCTGCTGGGCTTCCTCCGAAGTCCCAAGGAGCTCCACCCACTCCCGCTATTGCAGGTGCGCCTTCACACAAAAAATCTGGTAAAGGTGCTAAGGGCAAGAGGCCTGAAAGGGCAACTTCCTCTACGGCCACACGCTCTCCTGCGAGCTCAGAAAAAGATCTCTTAATGAATAAGGCAGAAATGTTGATGCACTACCTGCTGTACAGGTATCAATTACAAGAGCCTGTGAGGAAGGGTGGAATGCTGAAGATTATCCACAAAAGGTTCCGGCAGCAATTCCCTGAGATCCTCAAGATGGCTGCTGATCAGGTCGACCTGCTCTTTGGTCTTGAGCTGAAGGAAGTCAAGCCTGGGAGTGGCTCCTACACCCTTATCAGCAAATTAGATGACCGCAACAGTGGCAGTCCAATGGGTGGCTTGGACTTCCCCACAAATGGGCTTCTGATGCCTCTCCTTGGGCTGATCTTCTTAAATGGTAACTCTGCCTCTGAAGAAGAAATCTGGAAATTTCTGAGTATTTTGAAGGTTTATGATGGGGAGGAACACTTAATCTTTGGTGAGCCACGAAAGCTCATCACCAAAGATCTGGTAAAGTTAGGGTATCTGGTATACCGCCAGGTGCCTCATAGTGATCCTCCACGCTGTGAATTCCTGTGGGGCCGAAGGGCACACATTGAGACCAGCAAGATGAAGGTCCTTGAGTTTTTGGCCAAGATTAATGAAACCATCCCTAGTGTCTTCCGTTTCCAGTATGCAGAGGCTTTGAGACAGGAGGAAGAGAGGGCTGACACCAAAGCTACAGCCAAGCATGGCCATACTTCTCTATTTACTTGAAGTCCTAGGGGGAACTCCAGCCACTATACCCCTCAGTGAGTTGTAAGAGTCACGTTTTGCTGTATTTTTGAGGAGGGTTTCCTTCCTTACAGGTAGTTGGGGGTTGACATGGAGATCATTATACATTCCTATATTCCTGTTAAACTCTTGTATCTTTCAAATGTTTTTTTTTTTTCCCTTTTGGTAGAGTATTGGTTTAACTTCAGAATGCATGGTTATGAATTAACCAGCTCACACATATATTGTTGCCACAAAATTATGCGTATTAATTTTAGCTTTCTTTAACACATTTAGAAATCTTCGTTTACTTCTTTGTGTTAAGAGTAAATGCGTGGCTTTGGAATGGAGGTATTTCTTGGCAATGTGCGAAAGAGCCCCCCAAAATATAGCTGGGGTCTTAAAGCAGTAATAGCGAAGTGAAACATACTCAAAATACTGGTTTGCCTCTTTTTTTGTAAAGTTCAAAGAGATGTACCTTGTTGCCTTTAACTGATTCAAGAATACGAATAAAGAACAGTAAACTATATTCTTGCTCAGTGGCTCATTTATTCTCATCATTAATTGAGTATCTGCTCTTTGGAAAGTTCTATGCTTGTAGTAATGATGCTAAGATCAAAATGACCCATCCTCTGACCTTAGATTTGTGGAGTCTTCAGAGAAATTTTTATAGAATGAAGATTGAAACAGAACCTTGAATCGGAACAAATAAAAAAGAGCCAGGCTGGAGGAGGGGAGATCTAGATGAGAGCAGTCAAAGAACTTAGAGTTTGGGGACATTACAGTCACTTTCTGGGAGCTCATATTTAGTTAGCCGCATCCTGGGATTGATAAGGCTCTGACATTTGTGTGCTTTGGCCAAGCCCTCAGAAAGTGAGGCTTAGCATTAATGAATTAAGTCTAGAATGACAAATTGCCCTTAGTGATTACTCTGAAATTATAAAGCAGAAAATAATTGTGGGGTAGAATAGAAAAAGAATGGCGCTCCTGTCCGAGTGCATTTGAACACAGTGCACAAACTAGTATTTTGTACAGGTTTAGAGTGTTTTTGAGGAATAAAGGGCGTTTTTCCTAAAGTGAGAGCCCAAGATTCCGTTGAGTGATACTCTTTACCTGAAACTTTTACATAAATTAGATTATCTTGTGGAATTTGCCAAAACTTTAAATTATGTCTAGATGCTGTTGTAATAAAACAAAAATCGAGATATTTTCCTGGGGGACAGCAAAGAAGGAGAGGAATTATTGGTCTTTGTCATAAAGTCTATAGGTTTTCAGAAAAATCTTGCTGAATTCCATGCTCCCATATTAAATAACGTATTCTCCCCTGCAGGAAATTTACTTTTTGCTGTTTGCTTATCAGCATTATGATGAATTTGATCCTTTTTGTCCTGGAGCACTGCATGTTCTCTACCTTTTTGATGACCAAAGCTTCCCAGAGATGTAAATGGTCTCTTCTAGTATGGATATGATCATAGTCACAACTGCCGTTCTTTAAAGACCCAATATTTGCCCCCTTTCTTAATTTTTTTTTTTTTACATTACATGTATTCCGATAGTACTACAGGATGAGGTTTATCAGACACACTTGGAATATGAAGAACTCAAATATTTATGTTCACATGGCTGGTAAATGGCAGAGCTAGGACCACACACAGCGAGTCTGAAGCGCACTGTTTTATTTTCACCCAAACCGAGGCCACTGTTATGTCCCTTATTCTTTCCTATGACACCAAAATGTCTCTAGAAAAATAAAATATACCCTGTGTCCGAAGTGCTAGAAGCAGGCCTAAAGAAGGAAAGTGCAAGGGAGAATCCAAGCTGACTGGGAACTGCCCATAGGGTTCAGTTGCCTGCAGTCCTCCTGCCCCTCGCACTGCGGTTCCTGGAGAGCTGACTCTGTCCTGGACTCAGCTTCTGTGTCCAGCCCCAGCACATTCCCCATTACAGTGCCCTTCCCGTCTTCATCAGTGAGCCTTCCTATCCACCCTGGACCTGAAGTGCTGGCCAGTTCTTCACAGCCTTCTCTAGAGCCCACAGTGGCTCCCAAGGAATGAACAGCCCAGACTCCCCTGTCTGGCCCCCGCCCCTGAGGGTTCCAACTCCCTGGATACCCTGTCCCTCACCATGGACTCCTTTGTGACATCGACAACCCCTTCCATGGGATTGTTCTCTTCAGAATAGTGAAGCTTAGAAATGTCTTCATCCCTCTGGGTGCTTACACTACTCCTCCTAATTATTTTCAGATCTTTAGTTGAGCAGTTTATTTGGCATAGAATCTACTGGTCCTGGATTTATAACCGCAAGACTAGAAAGAATTTTTTAAACCACCTTGATATTTGCAGGAGAATTTGAATGGAGTGTTTCATTTCAGATTGGCCGCAGAAGACATAGATTCTTTTGGCTTCATTGTTGAATTCAAATGTGTACGTAGTCCATTATTAAACAATTTCCTGTTGAGGGACACACATTTTGTTCCATTTTGCTATTGCGATTCCTAAAAAAAAGCAAATGCCTTTACACGTGAATTTATGGGTAAATAACATTGTTCCTCATATGAAAGACATGGCAAAGATTAAATAAGTTTGAAATAGAGGCGTGGAGGGTGCGGGCCGCAGCTGGGCTGGGCTGCGGGGATCCGGAGCGGGGCCAGGGGGCGCGAGGTCCCGAGGCCTGGGTTGGGGCCCGTCCGAGGCCGGGACCCTGCGGGCGGCTCCGTGGTGAGGCCCGGCGTCCCAGCGTCTCCGTGGGCCTCCCGTGGGGCCGGGCGCCGGGCCGGGACTCTCAGTGGCTCGGGCAGCCTCTGCTGGAGGAGCCTGAGGCCAGGGCGCGCAGGCCCCGCGTCCCTCGCAGTCGGAGGTTGGGCCGCCGCCCCGTGTGCACCGGACCCCTGGTTGGTCCTCAGCTCCTGCGTCCTCAGTGCAAGTGCGTCCATGGAGGGTGAGATCGGTTAGGGCCCAGCGGACGCCGGCTTCTCTGTGATCCTCCCAGGCCCTTTGAGAGCACCCTGTTCCCCCATTCTACAGATGGAGAAACTTGGACACAGCCATTGCTAGTGCTGTTGTGACTCAGCTGATTAGAAGCTCAGCTGGGGATCAAACTCAGCGCATCTTCTTAATACATATTTTTAGGTGATACATGAAATTGCTGCCGAAGATGTCAGTGTTCTTTCGAAGATCAACAAAAGATAAATAAATTTGCGTGGAATACGAATAGAAACACAGAGCTAAAGGAAGAAATAGAAGTAAAAAAGAAACAACTCCAGAATTTAGAAGATGCTTGTGAGGATATCATGCTCGCAGATGATGACAGCTTAATGATACCTTACCAGATTGGCGACGTTTTCATCAGCCATTCTCAAGAAGAAATGCAAGACATGTTAGAAGAAGCAAAGAAAAAACTGCAAGAAGAAATTGATGCCTTAGAATCCAGAAGAGAATCAATTCGGCAGGTGGTAGCAGATTTGAAAGTTCAGTTATATGCAAAGTTCGGCAGCACTATAAACCTTGAAGCTGATGAAAGTTAAACATTTTATAATACCTTTTTAAATTTGTTTAATGAATTTAAATATTGTTTAAGAGGATAGTTTCCCTTCTTCAAATGACATGGAAAGGAAAACTTTCTCTTTTTAAAGTTTTCATTTATTTAGTGGAAATGCCTATTTTCACATGTCTTTCTTATTTATTTTGTATTTTTTAAAAGAAGACAGTATTCATCTATGTATTTTGCATAATGATTATATCAATTCTAGGGGCTTCATGTCATGTTATTAAAATCAGTTAACAATCTTCTGTGTTTCTATATTATTTAGAATACTTGTTGCAGTTTTCATTTATAGAAAAGTTAACAGTTGTGTCGTATTGTTTGTCTGTCTGATTCTGGTTTCTGTCTAAGGATGGTGAAAGCCCTACAAAAATGTACAATCCTGCACCTCTCCACTCTGCATATTTCACAACTAAACTTTGTCATTTACTAAAAAGAAAAATAAGTAAAATAAAAGAAAGGTGTGATAATTAGCAATTTTCTTAAATTTTGTTAAAATTTCATTACAAAATTCAATTTATAGAATATTGTTAGGACAACCTAAAATATCTATACCCTATACCCTCTTGGGCATGTTATATTATTAATCTTTCAAGTCTTACATTAATATTGGGGTAAAAGTTTTTCTCACGCTTATCTTAATCTGTATATCTTTGTTTGCTTTCTCATTAGTTTGAGTAGAAAATTTACTTAACCTTTCACCCATATAAAGCGAAATTTCTACAGTGCTATAGTGAGTAGCAGAGTTCCTCTGGACATTCCTTGATATTGTGAAGTATCAATAAACCATACTTGTTTATTTTGAGAGGTCAGGATTTAGAATAAAGTGATTCCAGACAGGACATGATCAGTGACTGAGGCGCATCAGGACAAAATGAGTCTACACCAATTCTGAGTGTCCACAAAAGAGGTGGCCTGCTGAACAGGTCCACAGAGCGGGGGCAGCTAACAGCTTTCTGCACCTAAGTTCCAGCGTAAGGTAAAGAAGGAACCAGCAGGAGAGAGAGCAGAGAATCTGGTGGAAGGCCTGGACAAGCTACATGAGTTTAGAAGTCTCTGGACGATTACGACCACCCTAAGTTACAGGGCGATCTGAGTAAGAAGACCCATCAGATGAATGGAACTGATGGGAGCCAGACACCCGTCCTCTTTTAGAATTTCCCCTCCCCGCTGTCAGGCAGAATATACATAGCTCACTTGTGTCATCCAGTTGTATTACTGATGGATTCTGGAGGCGCCCATGTCTTGGCACATCTGAAGGTCTAGGTACCAGAGCAGAAAGCTGTCTTGATGTCTGCTTGAGATGGACATCTTTTCTGGGTACATTGATGCTCTCCACTGAGTTTGGGACTAAGAGAATGGATAAAGTTATTCACGAATGAAAGGCCATCACAGATGATGTGATGAAATTTGAGGCTGGCCAGGAGCAGTGCAGGGAAGTGTGCCGCTGCCAGGAGAAAGACTGGAGCTCACTACTTCAGTAACATGACGGAAGAATGATTGATAGACTAGGTCTTCTTAAACAATCCAGATGATTTCCTCAGCTCCGACTTTCTCCCGCAGTTCCCGAGTTCTGGTACCCTTGCCTTGTGTGTTCCTGCCTGTGTTGCCACCGGGTACTTCCTGTGGTAGGGCATTGAAGCAAGGCACGGGCATCCATAGGGATGAGGTGACCTGACGGAGACGGCACATAACCTTGTTAAAATGATGGCGACAAGGCAAACATCAGGGGTCCGATTAAGGATGTGCCGCATAGCGTGCTGCTGCCAGAATCTTCCAATTCAAGAGGAGCGTTTTAGGCCCTAAAACGGAACTGTTCACAGTCATACTCTAAGTGACTTTTCCATAAGGATCCTGGTTAGTTGAGCAGTTGCCGCATTTTGAGATTCTTCCATGGAGGCAGGGGCTTCTACCAGAGGACAAGCTCGACATTCCAGTACCCGATCCACCCCTTCTTCCGTTCACCAGA